TATATATATATATGTATTTATATATATATATGTATGTATATATATATATCTCCTTATGATATTTACATTGGAATGGGCAGTTTCTGTGCTTTGTTGAAATTTGTGTCAGAACTCATCCTTTAACAGAAAAAAATTATGGGATGCTTATTATTGTAGAGATGCCATAGTTTTAGAAGTAATACCACAGGGTCTGGGCAGAGCATATTATTCAAATATAAACTTTGACCGACATTCGTTTCCACCATTAAATTTTTGTTTGAAGCAAACATTTTAAGTATTGTATCCATGTAAAAACCTTGAGTTACACGTGTGTTTCTCTTGGATAGAAGTATATTTCTTATACAACGTTTCCCTCACCTTAGTAATGTTAAAAAGAAGGGATTAGGATTGGGAACGGTTGATTTCAGACTCTGCTGGTCTATCTTGATTTAAGTTAAATCTCTTGATTTCCCACTATTTTATAAAACAATAGAATTAGCTTGTGATTAGTTAGCTTGGTTTGAATGTTGGAGTTGCACAAATGAACTCATAAATACACTGCCTGTTCAATAAATATCAAAAAACAAAATAAAAATTACAAATGACAATTTTCTTTCATCCTCTGCCAGTGTGTTTTACACAACCACAGCCCATTTGGCATACTGAAATAAACCTTAGTGGAGACATAACACTGTTGTGAGGAAAAACAACCAAATTATTCACCCACAATATTTTACAGACTCACAATAAAAGATGGCGTAATTATGACTTTGATGGTCACTTTCACAGGCCTATCAGAATACAACTATGAGGAACATGAATCTAAAAGTGGCCAATGTCTGAGGTGCCTTTTGCTGAAGCCATAATGTTAATCTTCTATCTAATGAACTTAAGTATGGTCTCTGTCTGATTTCTGCAGTCTTTGATCACAAGTAAATTCTCTCTAAGTTGCACCAATTTCAGAAAATTGGTAACGTTCTGAAAGTGAAACTTAGATTCTACTAGCAAACCATCAGATTCTACTAGCAAACCATCACTGTTGATGGGTTTTGCCAACATCAGAAAAAAAATGGAGCCAGCTGACATTTTTCTTCTCCGTAAAACACTTCCCCTGAAGATTACAGGGGAAAAAAGTCTTTGTTGCACGAGAGGCTCTGACTGTGTCATTAAGAAATACCGATCTATATCATGATCAAATTCAAAGTTTATAGAGTTCATGCATTTTATTTGGACTTTGTTTAAATGTCTTTATTATTTGAGTCATGCAGTGAACCTGCCAAATACCAGCGCGCTGATGTTCTTATTCTTACTGTGGCACAAACTGAAGAACTTTTTCCAAATCCTTTAGAGATGACTCCAAGACTTAATGTGATTACACAGATCCTGAACTTTTATCCAGCTTTAAAGCATCATATAACTTCTAATGAGGGATTTCAGACTTTAAGACCATAATTGATCAGTTTGTTTGGAAAGCACATCCCTAAGTGAGGTACAAAATGGTTAAAATTTGGAACCAGTGTGCGAAATGGTCTGAAAATTGCTTTAAAACTTTCATTATTCTCAATTTCACTGTGCAATCAAAAACTGTCCAACTCATAAGGTTAAAGCTATTTCTACACCATTTTCTTTGTTCTTAAAATATCTCATTTATGTCTCTTTAGTGCCCAAGTAAAATCACCAACCAGCCTGGCAGAGAGTTTGGCAGCACGAAGGACTTCCCTGATTCTGTGCTGCACTTTGCTCGCAGCCACCCGCTGATGTGGCGGCCGGTGTATCCAGCCCTGCGCCAGCCTGCGCTGGTGAAGGCCAACATACCCTACAAGCTGACGCAAATCGTGGTTGACAGGGTCGAGGCAGAAGATGGGCAGTATGATGTCATGTTCATCGGTACAGGTATGATCCACTGCATTTCTACATGAGAAAACTTGTCAACTGTTGTTATTATTATTGGATATTTTATTGAAAAGTAAGATTTCATATCTTTAACACACAGCGCACTGGTACAGAAGATATTAGGCAATAAACTGCACCGAATCTCTTTACTTTTTTTCTTTCAGATGTTGGTAAAGTGTTGAAGGTAATTGCTTTGCATTCTGGAAACAGTTTAGAAACAGAAGAAGTTACACTGGAGGAGCTACAAGTTTTCAAGGTAAGGTTTATTTTAACAAATGTGGTAATGAATGCAACTTCTTACATTTGTCCTTTTTTCTAGATTTCATACAACAAATCTTCCATGAATATAGCACAAACATGAAGAAAATTTGTGTGTGGTAGATCATTTTTTTTGTTGTAACGATGCTGCTTGCCATCGGAGCACCTGATTGGCAGAAGCTGGGAGTACCAGAAGCTCAACACAAGTGTCAATAACAGCAAAATAAGCTGTTTGACAAAGACGGTTTGGCAAATTTTTCATGCGCACAACCCACTCAGGTTTGCTGCTCATCCCACAAATGCATGTTCCTTACAAATGTGGCACCATTTAAAAGTGAAGTTAACAATCTTTCCATGCGGTATGGGGTTTATTACTAAGAAGCGTTGTTACAACAAAGAAAAAATCAACCAAACACAAATTTACTTACTTTGTGTTCATGTATTTCATCATGTTTTCTATTTCTAAAGAAAATTTCTTAACAGAAATGTCACTTTCACTTGTCACATTATTTCTTTGCTATTTTGATTTTTGAGCTTTTCACAAACTTATCGTATGTTATTCTCGTTTATTCAGGTGCCAACTCCAATTACATCAATGGAAATATCAGTGAAAAGGGTGAGTTCATGCAGCCAAGGCTCACGTTCATCTGAATAAAATGCTTTTCCCTCACAAACGTTCTCCCTCTTCCCCTCAATCAGCAAGCCCTGTATGTGGGCTCTCCAGCAGGTGTGGCGCAGGTGAAGCTGCATCGCTGTGAGACGTACGGGAAAGTCTGCGCAGAGTGCTGCTTGGCCAGAGACCCTTACTGTGCGTGGGACGGATCATCCTGCACGCGCTTTGTTCCTAACAGCAAACGACGCTACCGCAGGCAGGACATCCGACACGGAAACCCCGTTCTGCAGTGTGTGGATCAGAATCTGGGTGGTACGTGTGTTTTTACCTTCGCCGGCTCAGTGACTGCCTGCCTGGTGTTTCTTTCATAAGCTTGGGAACCTTGTGTTGGCAAGGTTCTCCGTTTCTGCTGGATGGATTTTGTTTAGAATAAAAAGTTGATTCTGTCTAAACTAAGAAGTTCTGAGGTTTGATACGTTTTGGCAGTTTTATGTTATCTGTTTCCAAATTTTCTGCTCAGCTGAGCTAAATAAATAATAGTCAAAATGTTGGAATTTTCTCCTATTAGAAACAGATTTATGATGTAGTTGTATTTTCTCTGAATGATTGCATTAGAAATGAGAAGACTCATCTGACAGCTCTGATTAAATGAGTAAAAGGTAACTACACATTGGAAATCAAAGTACAAAAATGTCAAGCCTTTATGTATAAAAGGATATCTAACTTTGTACCAAGAGTCTCAAATAGTTTATGCCACAATAAATATTTCTCTTAGTGCTATTGTTACATTCCAAGCTGACATTTTACCTTAAATTGATGTAAATAAGAGTTCTTGAACTCAGTCAATTTCAGGCAAAGTTACTATTGAGGAGTTTTTTTTTTTATTTTTTTGAGAAACGTTTATACAAAATAGGACCATAAACAGGCAATTACATTAACGGAGAAGAGACTATAGTCATTTTAATTCAAATAAATGCTAAATGCCTGTTTTTCTTTCAACAAAAAGACCTGGATGTGACAGAGGACAAGATTGTTTATGGGACGGAGAAAAACAGCACCTTCCTGGAGTGTGTTCCTCGCTCACCACAGGCTACAATCACGTGGCTAGTCCAACGTGAAGACCGCAAGGAAGAGGTGAGATAATTAGTCACAGCAATCACACACACAAAAAATGGACATTAAAATAAAAAAAAATCTAAATAAGGAAAATAAAATTTGACAGGAGGAAGGAGAAACAGTGTTGATGGTTGGAGTGAAACTTCTGACGAACGGTGGCCTAATTAACTGGCTGTAAAAGGATTAGTGTGTGATTTTGGCATGCGGCTGACACATTTGACAGCCATTTGACACGTGTTTCAAATTAAGCAGTTATATTTTTGAGAAAAGTGCACAATTGCTCAGTTTCTTGAACAAACCAAATTTCGTTGCAAACCTCAACCACACGCCACTGACAGATCAAGTGTCGGCTAACGTCTGTACAAGCAGCCGTGACTTCAGCGCGAAGCTGTCAATCCGTTTTAAGCTCTATTTAGCAAACGATGTGGCGTCCACACCCTCGGAGATCTTTTATCCGTTCAAGGTTAATGTGCCTCAGCCTTGTAGATTTTAAGGAATTACCATCCCTCTCCGTTTCTCTGTAAACAAACATTTGGCTGCTGCGAGATGACTGGACCGCCCGTGTTTGTGTTGGCCCTGAGGGGCAGCGAGGG